GCGCGGCGGAGCCGGAGGAGATGTGCACGGGGGAGCCGCCGGCGAAATCGAGCCCGCCGAGGACGAAGGACCTGTGTTCAGAGTGAGCGAGTTCGCGGGAGGGAGGGCATAAGAGGGATGGGGGGAGGGGGAGGGGGAAGTGGGGAAAGGGGAAGGGGGAGGGAGGAAGTGGGGAAAGGGGAAGGGGGAGGGAGGGAGGGAAGGAGAAGACACTCGTCGACGCGGGCCTGTGAAGAAGGCAGTGGGAGGTCGACCCGCACCCCGCCTCCTCGCCCTCTTGGCACACAGACGGACGCGCACTCCTTCACCTTCGCGCAGCCTGCCCACCTCCCCCCCTCGTCAAAACAAAAATCGCGCCAAGACTCGGCAAAAACAAAGCCGAAAAAAAACCAAAAAAGCAAAAGAAAGACGACGTACCACCCATTCGTATTCCACGTCCAGCACGCGATGGGGTCGTACACGAGCGTGCTCCACGCAAAGACGAAGAAGATGAGCGGCCAGAGGCGCCCGCGCTCGGCGACGGCGCCGATGGCGAGGATTGGGCTGGGGGGTTGGTTAATTTCGTCATAAATGGGGGGAGGGGAGGGAGGGAGGAGAACGAGCAGGAGACGTCGCGACGTGCGCCGAGACCATGCGGCTACGTGCACTGGCCCGCCCCTCGCGGTACGCAGGGGCACCAGATGTGTCCGTCATTCTGGAGCTCGGTCCACATCGCACGCACGCGCACACAGAGGATCCCCTCGTCAAAGACCGCGCCGCACGTCACAGCACGCGGGTCCTGGAGCATCAAGTCCACGACCCGCAGGGACGAAACCCTCCCCGCCAAAACGCTCGAATACCCCTCCTCCACAAGGTCGAGAAACAAAGAGAGCAGGAAACGCACGTAATAGCCGCGAACATCAGCTGGTAGATGCAAAACACGATGGAGGGGATGCGGGTGGAGCCGATGGAGGGCTGTTCGAGGACGCCGCGGAGGGCGAAGTACTGTGGGGGGCGGGGCGTTAGCGAGCGCGCGCGCGAGTAAGCGGGGAGAAGGGGAGGGAAGAGGAGGGGAGGGGGCGGGCATTGGGAGGGCGAAGGAGTGCGAGCCCTGCCCTGCTCTAAGCTGCCCGTCGTTCGTTCGGACGGACGGAGGAGCATCAACGCCACCAGCGAGCGCTAGCGGCGCCACAAGGAGCAGACGAGCCTAGGATTTGCGGCGAGCCCAGCTCTTTGGGGATGCGGGGACGGATCGCCGAGCGGAAACGGAAGACGGGCTCTGCGCCCCCCAGCGGCGTTCCAAGGTCGGCAAATGCACAGGTCACCGAAGATCGGCTCTCCCAACGGGAAAGTGATACAACGACAACGGGAAAGAAATAACAAGGCCACGAGAGGCGACGAAACACACCTTCAAATCCCCAATAAACGCACTACCAGTCTCGGAAAACGCCAGCGAGAAGCCCCAGAAGAACCACTGGAAGGACACGACGGCGACGGTCATCATGCTGAGGTAAATCATGGAAAGCGCATTCTTGCGGCGGAGGAGGCCAGAGTAGAAGAAGCCGACGCCGGGAATCATGATCCAGACGAGGGCCATGGAGGCGAGGACCTGCGGGGTATTCTCAGCATTTCCCTCCAAAGGCGGGAGGAGAACGCACCCAGGAGATATCACCCGCGTTATACACATACAGCTTCCCATCGCTTGGGTCGACCCAGTTCATGTCGCCGCTGGCATCGTAGGTGATGTTGAGCGCGCGCGCTGCAAGCTGGTGCAGATACGAGTCTGAGGACATCTTGTCTGCCTAGCAGATAGATGAGAGGTAAGGAGCGTCAGTCAGTATTGGATAACACTTGAAGCCCGGAGACGCACTCCTTATAGCTGCAGCAGTAAATGGCTTGAAGACTGGGACGTCGTGCAAGTCAAGAAGCAAGAAGCTGGCAGCAATCCCACAGCCTGCAGCCAAGCCTTCCGTACAAATCTAAATCCGCACGATCAATTACCCGTCAGCTCCGCGCCACTGCCTGTGTTATCGCCCAATCACAGCGCGTGCCTAGTCTCCTGATACTCTCCACGATAAGTCAGATCCCTGAACCAACTGGGAAACTGCCATATGCGCAGACGCCGATGCGATAGTAAGTTTCCGTGAATGAATGGCGGCGAGGTCGACAGATTGACACCCGTTCGTACGGGATGACATTTGATGTCCTTTTTCTTTCTTTTGCTTACTCTTCGTTCCTCTCACTCCTGCTCATCCCATGCCATCCTCTCGCTCGTATTATACCCCAACTGCACCCACTTCAACTTCTATTCGGCCCCTCCCCCCCGATCCGCCAAATCACCGACGTCCGAATACCTCCGACCCGAGAACAGCCCGGCGGCGGCCAGACCCTCAAGCTTGAAGGCTGACTGACTGTTGGCTGTTGGACACCGTTCAAACCCCGTCCCTCAAACCGTTTCGTGCGATGGCGGACATCCCAGCGTCTAACCCACCGTCCACTTTCTTTCTAGCTTGACCTTGCCTTCAACCTTCACCCCCTCTCGCGCGGCGGTGCCCTGCCAGGATTCGCATCATTCTACTGTAACCACGCCGCTTGAGGCACCATTCCTTCATTCATAGATGCTTTACTCTCTTGGCTTACCGACGGCAGTCTAGGCTTGGCATTCGCCACAGCACCACAGCTGTAGTGTCGCTCAAATCCAGCCTAGCCTCTCGCTTCAACACCCTCAAACTCTCCGCGCCGAGTCTCGCTCCTCGCAACCGTCGTCTGACTCATTATATGCGCGATTGATATTCAATAATGCAATCCTACATTTACATAAGTACTTGCCGTACTGCAATTAATATGACCTACTATTCGCTCTCCCTTCTTTCATTATACCGCTCTTCTCGGCAACGCAGCACAACCCAACGCCAGCCTCCCTGCATCTGAGTACTCTGCATTGCATCTACATCCCGTGCCTGGACACTACATAAGTACGCGCGCGGGAAGCCCGCGGGTATCTTCGCGTATTCGCATGGCAATAAGTCTAGTCCCCGGTACCTACTTTTAGGCTCCATCAAGTTCCCACCCCTCCCCGAATTTCTCACACTGGGGCTGGAGCGGAAGGGCGTTACTCCGCTCGGAAGTATCTTCCCACGGTGTTACTTCCAGACCCGCCCAGCCAGTGCCCAGCCCAGACCCTGGCTTACATACACAATTTCACATAGAATAAGTTTAAATTCGTCTGTGTGCGTGTCCGATTATAAAATTTCATTCCCTCTAAAAGTTCACAAAACAACGACGTACCAGCAAAAAGAAGAAAAAGACAAGCGAACAGAAAAGCGAATGGGGACACAGGGAATCGAACCCCGTCCTGCTGCTTCATGTAATCATGGAACATATATTGAGAGCAGCCGTGCACCATACACCACATCCCATTTCCTTGCCCTGTTTCTCACTTGAGTAAATGCCACACTTCATGCCTGGTTGGGGGGGGAAAAAGCGATGAAGGAGTGATTGGGATACAGGGAATCGAACCCTGTCCTGCTGCTTCATATTATTCTAAATTTCATATTGAGAGCAGCTGTGCACCATACACCACATTCCAGTTCCTTACCCTGTTCCTCATCTGAATAAATACCACATTTTATACCTGATTGGGTAACAAAAATGGATGTTACAGGATGGAAAAAAGACTTTGCAGACCAGAGAAAATATTGGGATACAGGGAGTCGAACCCTGTCCTGCTGCTTCATATGATCGCCAAGATCTATTGGAAGCAGCTATGCACTGTACACCACATCCCCGTTCCTTGCCCTGTTCATTTGAATACAGGGCCCACTTCTATGATTTTGATGAACGATGAAAAATAAAAAAGGATGAAAGGACAGACCTACCATTGGGACACTGGGAATCAAACCTTGTCCTGCTGCTCCATATAATAGAGAGGTTGCGCAAAAGCCGCATGAGCCGCATGCGGCTTTGATGCATTGCGCAAAGCCATAGGGTTTCTCGGTGTTCTCAGTTGTTTTTTCTACTCAATATTCCCCAGCGTCTCTCTGAACCTGTACTGAAACGGCCGAAAGTCATATGGGATGGATGCGGAAGCATGGGAGGTCGTTGTGCCGATGCATAATGCTTGCATCACTCGAGGCCCACTCACCTTTCTCACACTTTTCGCAGCTTGCATCCGGCAAATGAAGTGCCAATAGAGTTCATTCACCTACCAGGGCCTCTCCCTCAACTCCGGTAGCTTTTCATTGAAAAGGTTCCTTGGAACACCTCAGATGATTATTTTTTCCACGCGGCTTTGCACAATGCACAAAAGCCGCATGCGGCTCATGCGGCTTTTGCGCAACCTGTCTAATCAGGGAGACCATTTTATTGAGAGCAGCTGTGCACCGTACACCAAATCCTATTTCCTTGTCTCTTTCTCAGCCAAAATAAATTCCACACTTTGTGACTGGCCAGGTAACAAAAAGGTGGTATGCCAGTCATAGTAATGGGACACAGGGAATCGAACTCTGTCTTGCTGCTTCATACCATTCTAAATCTTGTATTGAGAGCAGCCGTGCACCATACACCACATCCCATTTCCTTGCCCTGTTTCTCACTTGAATAAATGCCACACTTCATGCCTGGTTGGGGGGGGGGAAAGCGATGTAGGAGTGATTGGGATACAGGGAATCGAACCCTGTCTTGCTGCTTCATATTGTTCTAAATTTCATATTGAGAGCAGCTGTGCACCATACACCACATTCCATTTCCTTGCCCTGTTTCTCACTTAAATATAGGACACACTATATGCCTGGTTGGGAAGAAGAAAAAACATCGGAGAAAATATTGGGATACAGGGAATCGAACCCAGTCCTGCTGCTTCATGGATTCATACAGCACGTGATTGAAAGCAGTTGTGCACCATAAACCACATCCTATTTCCATGCCCCATTTCTCAGCAGAATAAATGCCAGATTTTATACCTGCTTGGGTAACAAAAGGTATGGTACAGGAGGGAAAAAAAGAATACCAGAGAGAAAGTATTGGGACACAGGGAATCGAACCCTGTCCTGCTGCTTCATGTAATCATGGAGCATATAATTGAGAGCAGCTGTGCACCATACACCAAATCCCATTTCCTTGCCCTGTTTCTCCACTTGAATAAAACAACACTTTGTACTGGTACAGGAAGAAAAAAGAGTTTGCAAAAGAGATAAGTATTGGGACACAGGGAATCGAACCCCGTCCTGCTGCTTCATGTAATCATGGAGCATATAATTGAGAGCAGCCGCGCACCATACACCAAATCCCATTCCCTTCCCTACATACCACTCTAAATAAATACCACACTTCATGCCTGGTTGGGGGAGGAAAAAAGACTTTGCAGAACAGAGAAAATATTGGGACACAGGGAATCGAACCCAGACCCGCCGCTTCATATCTCCGTTTGATCCAATATAGAGAGAACAACTGTGCACCATACACCAAATCCCAGTTCCTTGCCCTGTTCCTCACCTTAATAAATACCACACTTTGTATCAATACAGGAGGAAAAAAAGAGTTTGCAAAACAGAGAAAATATTGGGATACAGGGAATCGAACCCTGTCCTGCTGCTTAACATATATCCGAGACTTGGAGATGGAACATGTAGCAGCCGTGCACCGTCCACCACATCCCACTTCCTTGTCCTGTTTCTCACTTCGATACACGGCACACTTCTATAATTTTGACAAATAATGGAAAAAAGGAAAACAAAAAAAAGGAACAGGCGCAAGACAATTGGGACACCGGGAATTAAACCCAGACCTGCTTCGCATCTACATCGTGAAAACCTGCGTATAGAAAGCAGCGGTGCACTATACACCACATCCCATTCACTTCCTTACATACCACTCTAAATAAATACCACACTTCATGCCTGGTTGGGGGGAAAAAAAGACTTTGCAGAACAGAGAAAATATTGGGACACAGGGAATTGAACCCTATCCTGCTTCATATCTCCTTCAAACTATTGAGAGCAGCTGTGCACCATACGCCAAATCCAATTCCTTTTTGCCCTGTTTGTTACCTGGATAAATACCACACTTCATTTTTTTGGCCACACCCTCGGTACTGTTATTAGCTGTAATGTGAATGGGTATAAGGAAATGGAAATGGGATTTGGTGTATGGTGCACAGCTGCTTTCAATAGGATATGGTCATGAACATATAGAGCAGCAAGACAGGGTTCAATTCCCTGTATCCCAATACTTTCTCTCTTTTGCAAACTCTTTTTTCCCTCCTGTACCAGTACAAAGTATGGTATTTATTCAGATGAGGAAATGGGCAAGGAACTGGGATTTGGTGTATGGTGCATGGCTGCTCTCAATTATGTTCCTCATGGTTACATGAAGCAGCAGGACAGGGTTCGATTCCCTGTGTCCCAATGGTTGATTCTTGATTATAATTTCTTTTTGCCCAACCAGGTATAAGGTGTGCTATTTAGTCAGGTGAGACTGAGTGCAAGGAACTGGGATGTGGTGTATGGTGCACAGCTGCTCTCATTTATGCTCGCCATGATTACATGAAGCAGCAGGACAGGGTTCGATTCCCTGTGTCCCAATACTTTCTCTCTGGTATTCTTTTTTTCCCCCTCCTGTGCCATACCTTTTTTGTTACCCAAGCAGGTATAAAATGTGATATTTATTCTGCTGAGAAACAAGGCAGGAAATGGGATGTGGTGTATGGTGCACAGCTGCTTTCAATTATATGCTCCATGATTGCATGAAGCAGCAAGACTGGGTTTGATTCCCTGTGTCCCAATATTTTATTTATAGTATTCCTTTTTTCCCTCCTGAACCATTCCTATTGAAAGCAGCTGTGCACCATACACCAAATCCCATTTCCATTTCCTTATACCCATTCACATTACAGCTAATAACAGTACCGAGGGTGTGGCCAAAAAAAAACTCTGTTCAGGACATTTTCACAAATTACCCATAGCTCAGCCAATCCTCAACGGATTTGCTTGAAAATGGGCTAGATTTGCTACACTAATTCACTTGAAATTAGTGATAGAAATAAATTTGTAAAAATATTAGAGAGGTTGTGCAAAGCCGCGCGGGATTTATGTTCTGTGCAGGTTAAATTCCATTATGATGTGTTCAAACTGGTATTTTAGGTGCAACATTTCTGCATCTGCGGTATAGTTCGATTTGACCCCAAGAAACGCAGAAGAATGCCATAATTTGGTGTGACACTAGAGATTGATGGTTTTACCAAGGCCGCATTTTGGCTTGGTTCAGTGGACTCCACATGGCTGATATGACTGGGAGGGCTTCATAAACTTGAATACTACGCATTTTATTGAAATGTATGTGGTTTAAGCCCTCAATTCATTTTTTCCTGCACAGCTTTGCACAATGACCAAAAGCCGCATGCGGCTCTGTGCGGCTTTGCACAACCTCTCTATTGTATGGCAGATGAATTTGGATTTTGGGCTGTTTTTGGGGTTGAATGCCATATAGCAAGCTCAGGAGTGGTTCAAATGGCCTGGTTTTGTGAGACACAATACTTTTATTGATCCTGAAGGATGTGATTGAGCCAGAATTTTGTAGAGGTCATGGCTGCATTCAATTCTCACAAATATTTCTAGTTCAGACTGATTGCAAAAAAAAAAAAAAAAAAAAAAAAAGGAATAAATCATTGGGACACGGTGTGAGGTGCTGCTTCGCGTAACCTTCCCCGCTATGGGCATAGCGGAGACACAGAGGTTTAACAGTGCTCGCAAACTTCTCTGGGGCCGACACGAAAAAGAATACGGTTCCAGTGGCAAAGCTGGAGTCTCGAATCGAACGAGTGACCACGGGAAGACGATTATGAAACCCGGGAAAACTGGTCGAAGTGCCCGGCAGCCCACTGCACCACAGAGCTTCCCGGGCCAGTCAAAAAGAGTGCCCCTACCTCGATTCCCCGTCTCATCCCTGCCCGAAAACCTATCCCAAGTTTAGTCGCGAACGATCTCCAGGCAGATTGTACGAGACGCATCTCCGGGCTATGCAATCCTTTCCAAAACACAAAGATATTGCTTGCATGGACCAAATTCCACAGACGGAGCACTCGTTACATCGACAGATTATACGAGACGCATCTCTGGGCTACGCAATCCATTCCTGAACACAAGATATCGCTTGCATGGACCAAATTTCACAGACGGAGCACTCGTTACATCAACAGATTATACGAGACGCATCTCTGGGCTACGCAATCCGTTCCAGAAGACAAGATATCGCTTGCATGGACCAAAATTCACAGGCGGAGCACTCTTAACTTCGACAGAAATATACGAGATGCGTTTCTGGGCCATACAATCTGCTCCAGAACATAGGATATGGCTCGCACGACCAAAACGTCGTGGGCGGAGCACCAATATCCTCGAGAGACGAGCGAAACACAGCTCCAACATAGTCAGAACACGGCTCCTGACCTCGCGACTGGCTTCAAAAACGCAGGAACTTGATCGGAGAAGCGCAAACTTGCCACGGAATGAACGGAGGCACTCGCCATTCGCAGAAAAAGGACCAAAGGGTGTTCTATGGCCTGGAACGACACAGTCAGAGCACTGTTTGGCCGCCGGAGCACACTACTTGATGGTGTATGACTCGATATTCCACCGGAGGATCGGTGCAAGGCACAGAAATGCATCGTGCATTGACCTGGGTAATACCAGCGGTGGCGGAAGAGGAAGTAGGAGCAAGGATAGGTGGAGGGAGAGAAGCGGAGCAGCGGGGGCAGGTAGGAGATGGGAAATTCCACGACCGAAAGGGGACTCTTGAGTATCCTTTTTGGGAACATTCTTAGTTGACAGAAGGGGAAAGAACGAGAAAGAATGGAGGAGTCAGAGGGAGTACAGAAGGGGAAAGGGCCTCTTTGAGGGTATAAAAGGAGTAGGAAAAGAACCGTAAAAGTATCTTGTATCTCCCCACCTAAAATCTAAAGGCGTTCATCGAGCTGGACGATTCTGCGAAAACCCACACACCCCTTCACTTGACGCAGTTCAACGAATAAAAAGAGTACGAGACCTGGTGCCGCTCCCAGAGGAAGGAGACGTATCAGCAGGATAGATTGGGGCATAGGATATCCAGACAAGAAGTCCTAGTTCGACGGGTGGAAAGGATATCATAATAGCCAGCTAGCAGCATGGGCTGCTAATTTGCGTGTAACTGTTGCAACAGGTTGGGTAATTATCAACCGGAGAAACTCGCTCCGCCGATAAGATGAGAGAGGGCTGGAGGAATTAAAGGAGAGGGACTTTCGACACAGTTCGCCAAAGGAGAAGTCAAACAAGCCCCCGGAAAGCTCCTCGTCAGGACCACAGCTTGATTCATCACTCAGAGGACGACGAATCACATACAAGAAATAAAATAACCCATCCCCTCGACATATTCATCGGCTCCCCTGCGTCCCCTCCCGCACTACGTACGTGGATTCGCCGGAGAAATCGAGAAGGCTATCTACCCCGGAGGAAATCCACGGAGTAGTTATAGCGGAACAGCATTCAGTGCAGCGGACTGAACACTTGTAATAAATTAACAACCCACGCCTTACCTACGGAGGAACACTTCCATAACACACACCGATTCAGCCACCACAAATTTCCCCTTAGAGGATGTAACATCTCCGACGTACTGTTATAGACAGTACAAGTGGTCTGGCAGTGAAGGAACCACAGTCCACATCACAACGGGGAATCAAACCCTGTCCTGCTGCTTCATGTAATCATGGAGCATATAATTGGGAGCAGCCATGCACTGTACACCACATCCCAGTTCCTTGCCTTGTTTTTCAGCAGAATAAATACCACATTTTATACCCTTGGGTAACAAAAAAGGTATGGTACAGGAGGGGGAAAAAAGAATACCAGAGAGAAAGTATTGGGACACAGGGAGTCGAACCCTGTCTTGCTGCTTCATAACATCATGACAACATCCTATTGAAAGCAGCTGTGCACCATACACCAAATCCCAGTTCCTTGTACTATTTCTCACCTGAATAAATGCCACACTTTCTATCAATACAGAAGGAAAGAAAAAGAAGGCTGCAGATAAAGTATTGGGACACAGGGAATTGAACCCTGTCCTGCTGCTTCCCATCTACGTTGGGGAACACGTAATTGAGAGCAGCTGCGCACCATACACCACATCCCAGTTCCTTGTCCTGTTTGTCACTTGAACAAATACCATACTTTGTACTGGTGGAGGGGCGGGACTGACGATGGCGGTGCCCGGCGATCAACAGCGCTAGAGATCCTCCGTGGATGCAAGCAAGAGGTGTGATGATCACTAAGCTACGACAAGACGCTGCCTAACTACTGCAAACTAGCTACACAGCCACTGGCTGGCGGCGACCGCCGCTGCCACATGCGCCACCAACTCGAAAGGCGACGTCCCCGGCGCCAGAACCAACACAAGTCTACATGCTCTATCCTACAGCAACAACTAAACTAGAGTGCCCGTGAACAAGAATGGAAAAACCAAGAACTCGCCACTACTCCAACCCACTGCCAATCTCCGCCGTCCGCTCCACCTCGATCGCCTCTCGCTCCAACCTATTGTCTTCCGCGACCACCGGCCCCAATGCCTCTAAAAACAACTTCTGCGCTGCCTCCAGCTTCCCGCCCCGCTTCGGCACGAACCCCCGTAGCCTCCGCGAGCTGTGAACCCCATCGATGACTTCACCCAGTAGCGTCTCAAGTATGTACGAGCTGTGTAACCGCTCATGGACGCGGTACGGCGTGGACCAATACCATATGAGCTTGCGTGTGGACTTGAACGTGTAATCCCAAACACTGTTCACGTATTGAACGAGGTCACCTCGGTTATAGATGACTTCCTCCCCCTTCGACGCGAGGATTCTGCGATCGAAGGTGGCCTTGCGGCCGAGCACATATCTGACGTGTTCCGCATAACCGTCAACTCGGAGCTGGTTGACGTAAGCCGTATGAGTCTCGAGCTTGGTCACAGAGGGCGCCTCGACGTCCAAAGGTACTCCGCCCTTCGATTCACGGGCGAGATAGCTGCGCATCAACTCCTTGGGTGAGTACTTGACGCTGGGGAGAATTCAACAATTCAAGATCTGAATTGCTTCGTTGAAGTGATCTGGCCAATTCGTGGGTAATTTCTCCCATTTCATTGCCTTCCACTCATCTTCAACAATGTCGGGTGCGCAGAGCCGCACTAAAATGTGCAGGACAAGCTTATTAGTACCCTCGACCAGCCCATTGATCCAAGCAGAATACTTCGGCACAACACGGTGGTAAATGCCTTGTGACACGCAGTAATCATCAACAACTTTGCAATCAAAGTGTGGGCCGCCGTCGGTCATGAAGGTCTCGGGGTCGTCGTGGCTGTCTCCGATGCGGCGCAGCGACTGGACCATAGTGTTTCCTGTCCCTGCGGTCTTGAATTTGTCACCCCATACCCATTGTGTGTAGCAGTCGACATATAGCCCGACGTTCTTGTAGCCTCCCTTTCCCTTCGGCATGGAGAGGTAGTCGCCCGCTACAAGTTCCATTGGCTGCCGGCGCATAATCAGGTTCAGCAGCGACTGTATGTGCTTCAGGCCAAAGGCTTTGCATTGGCCGCAGTCCCGAATGACGGAGATGATTGATGTATCGAGGCCCGGGCTGCAAATGCGAGTCATCAACTGCGTCTTTATCGAATTGCGCCCAAAGTGGCCGCCCTCCGCATGCATCTTCACAGCCATCTCTACCGCCTCCTCGCGCGTTACGCACTCCCTTGACGCCACAGGCCGGCCTCGCTTTCCACCCCCCAGCCGCCACAGTTGCCCATCCTTGACGTAGTACTCAGATGCCCGGTGCCGCGCCTTCTCCTGCTCCTGCTTCGATGTCCCCATCCCTAGCTCGTGGATTGCGTCCAGCACCTCTAGGTACAGGGGCTCGCCCTTCAGGCGTTCTCGCAGCGCCATCGTCCCTTTTGGCAAGGGCACGATCGTGAATGCATCGGCGTCCCCGGCTGCCTCCACGCACACCGAGAATACATCACACCAGCCCCCTCTCCGCTTCCCAATCCGGTGACACCGTCCACTCATGCCTCTCCTCCGTGTCATCGTACTTACGACTCAGCACATCTGCGCCAACATTTGTCGTGCCCTTAATGTGCTTCGCCGTAACAATCCTGTGTGCCAACACCCCATTCCTCCACCGCTCGTGCGCTACATTCGGCCTCTCATTCATCAAGACATAACGCAACGCGCTGCAGTCTGTCTACAGGAGTATCGGCTGTCCCCATATAATGTTAGCAAATTTATTGAGGCCGAATTTCAACGCAGCGAATTCCAGCAGGTGCGGCGCATAGCGCTTCTCCGCCTCCGAGGTGTGTTTCGACGCGTATCCAATCGGGTGTCGACGGATGACCAACTTCCCGCCTGGCAGCGTTGTCTCCATCTTCTGCGCCAGTATCGCGGCGAAGCCCCCCTTGCAGCCGTCAGTGTTCAGAATGAACGGGTACTTCTCCACTGTCTCGAACCAAGGCGCGCGGAGTACCGGCTCTGAGGTCAGGATCCGTTTGAGGCGAAGAAAGCACCGCGTGTGTTCATCTGTCCAGTGCTGGCGTAACGGGAAGGTGCGCATGAGTTGCCGATAGGAGCGGGTGTTTGTGGCGGCAGACGTGTTGACCAAGGCCAGTAGATTTCGGAGAGGCGCCTCCTCCGCGACGTAGTTACTGATCAAGTCCCTGAAGTAAGACGTGAGTCCCAGGAATGAATGTAAGCTGGACGTCTGAGTTGGCTGTGGCCATTGGACAACTGTTGTCAGCTTCCTCAGGTCCGGTGATACGCCTCGCAGCCCAACGGTCGACCCCGCAAACACCGCCTCGGTCATGAAGATCTTTGTCTTCTTCGCCGAGATTGACAGTTTCGAATCCCAGATGCGGTCGAATATGACCCGTAGCCTCCCCTGCTGCCGCCCCCCCATTGTCCACTAGCAGCTCCATGGTTTCGTGCATCAACAAATCCCAGAACTCCTGGGCCACCATATCTCCGAACGCCGTCGGTGCATCTGTCAGACCAAAGGGCATCCGCTTGTACGCATAGTAACCGCGTCCCGGGATCCAGATGCACAGGTACGGCTGCACTTCATCATCGACGTGGAGCGCATAAAAACTGGAGGCAAAATCAAAAACCGAGACGTATCTGTATCCCGAAAGTCGCTGTTGTTTGTCCCGGATATCGCCCTGTGGTAGCGGTACCACCTTCAACAGTTTGTTCAGTTCTGCGAAGTTGGCGCAGATCCGCCAACTTGGTGGTCCTGGCGAGCGTGGTTTTGCAGGCGCGTCCCTCGGCGGTAGATCCAGTCGCAGCTCCATCCCATGGCGTACGCATTCGTCCTTGAGATTGTGGATGAGCTCGTTCAGCGTCAATCCCGGGTCGTGGTCCTTCTCTGCCAGCGAAATTGGGCTGACGCACTTGACGTCGTGTGGATCGATGCGCCGCAAAATCCCCGCCACCTCCATCTCGCTGACTTGCCTATTGACGTCGATATTCTGCAGCTTCGTCCACGGCCGTTGCGGAACCGCGCCTGTGCTGAACGCGGTGTCCTTCGGGATCTTTGGTGCGTACCCTGGGCTGTCCACAACACACACTTCACTGAGCGATAGCGCAAAGATATCAGCATACTCGGCGACGAACCCACGCACCCGCTGCCGCTGCTCGTCCGTCACATCTGGTCCGATCTTCACCAGCTCGAGGATTCTCGCCACTCTCGCTGGATTGAAGGGGTCCATCTCGCGTGTGTAAACATCGCTGGTGAGTGACGCGCCCGGGGACGGTGTTACTTGTGCGATGTGGTTAACGGCCATCCAGTCCGGCAGGATATCAAAGAGTACTCGCCTTGCGGGGGGAGTCTCTCGAGACTTCGCCCCCATGGCGGTTGCACGCGTCTCTGCGTCACCGTGATTCTCGCCGCTCCTCATCAATGGGGTTCTGTGGTCGCACACGCTCCGAATGGTGGGGTCAGCTGCTGTTGTGTCGTCTAGACCAGTGGAATCGACTCGCCTTGCGGGGGGAGTCTCTCGAGACTTCACCCCCGTGGCGGTTACACGTCTCCGCGTCACCGGAATCTCCCTCGCAATCTAGCCACTCCTCGTCACTCATCCCCTCGGTTTCACCGTCCGTTTCCGTTTCCTCCGCCCACGTCTCCTCTGCATCTTCGAACTCCTCCACGTCACTGTCGTCGTTGTTGGGGCATCCTAAATCATCAGCTGTATCGACGTCTCTGGTAATGGGGTCGGCTCCGACTCGCCTCGCGGGGAGAGTCTCACAAGACTTTGCCCCCAGCGCAGATCTGCGCATTCCCATGTTCATGACAACTCCCTCTGTCTCCTGCTCTCCACACGCCGTTTCCGCCACCCTGTCCTCGCTGCATGTCTCTGCCTCACACCGCCCAATAGTCCCACTCAACTCTACTGCTCGTCTTCCCTTCGCGTCCATCGCCTCCTTTCGTGTCGTCTCAACTCCTGGATCAGCTGCTGCATCAGCATCCTTTGAGGCAGTTATGGGGTCTACTCGCCTCACGGGGGGAGTCTCACAAGACTTCGCCCCCGTTGAGGCTTCGCACGCCCCGCTCTTCTTGCCGATGTAGTTCGCATTGTCGTCCCTTTCGACTTCCTCGATCCAGGCGCCTTCGGGTTCCTCCTCGGGAATCAGATATAAGTCAGTGTTCACAAGATGGATATTGAGCGGGACTCCCCTCGCGGGGGGAACCGCGCGCGATTTCTCCCCCGTTGAGGCTTTACGTCTAGCCGCTTCGATTGCGGCTTGAATCCCATCCAAACGCACAGCCGGGTTCTGGTTGACCAGTGTCGCCGTTCTCCCGCCCGCAGTAATGACGACAATATCGTCCTTGACGTTGTGGACAGCCCCGATCGCCGCTTGCAACGGCTTCCCGAAGAGCACCTTCCAACCCCCGCAGCTGTCGAAGATTTCGAACACTCCCCTGATGCATATGCCCTCTATCTCGACCTCCCCAATCCATCTTCCGTACGTCTGCACTTTCGTCCCGTCTGCCATCCGCAACATCTTCGTCGGCGCGAGCATCGTCCCCAACCTCGGCGCCTTGGACAAGAAGAACACCTTGTCAATCGTCCCGACTCTGGCCCCGTGTCGAACAACCCCAACACCCGTACTTTCTCTCCCTTCGGACCCCCCAAACGCCATCCAATGCATGAACGGCGGACTTGTCTTCTCACACTCACTCGGGTCCATCGTGTACAGGTCAACGAGCTCGAATTCGGGAGTATTATCGACGATACAAGATGGAATGCCCGAGCCTCCAAGTAGGCCAGGACTCGGGACTACGCTTTGGCAATTCTGCGCAGCCCCTTTCAAAAACCCGCCTCCACACTTCCATCTTCCCCATACCACAGGACACCCTCGATCGCCGCGACCTCCACGTAGTTCGTCGCTGGTGTCACATTGTGTATCTTCCCGAACCACTGTCCGCAAGTCGTGCGGTATCTGCGCTCGAGAACCGGTAGCAGCACGCTGGGGCACTCCTTATGCACTGGGTAGGTGTACGCCCCGCAGCGCCAGCATTCACCGCTGCACGGGAAGGCCGACCTGGGCAAGATCGGGTAACCCGTCGACCAGATCGCAACTGAGTCTTGCGGGATGTGTCCATTGCGTGTGGTCCACGCCGCAATCTGTTTGGCGTAGCGGGCGCGGCCTTCCGGCGTGTTCGGCGGCTGCTGTCTGTTCCCTCCCTCCATGAGGGTCCTCAGATGGGCACGCTGCTCGTCAGTCCCGGACGGAATAAAAAAAAGGGCAGGTGTCCTCTTCCTCCTCCACCTCCTCCTCTCCCCGTTCGGCGGGTTGGGCAGGTTCGCTGCAGGAGGGTTCGCGGGGGGGGGGGGGGGGGCAGTGGTGTTCGGTGGTCTGGGGGCCGGTGGGGCAGTGGGCGTGGGCGTACTCGTCGCGACACACATGCTGTTCATGCGTCGATCGATCTCCCCCATTGTCATCTCCCACCTGCGTTCCCGCTTGTACTCCTCCACGGCTGTGTCCACGGCAACCTGTGGTACCTTCGCAAGCGCCACGAGCATCGTGTCCCACGTCGCTGGCACGTCGCCAATCAACAGACGTAACGCAGCCGGGAGTGCGCCGTGAAACGCCCAGACGCCCTCCCCTTCCTTTCCCGCACTCGTGTCCAAGACCACCTCCTTCAAACGCGTCCGGAATAGTACCATCGGCGCGATCTTCTCCCCGTCAACGAGCACAAACTCGACTGCAAGGTCCTTCACCGCGATTCGCATACCAGACAGCTCAGCGAGGCGCTGAGCCCTGGGTTTCGCAAGAGGCTCCATCGCAGCGAACCGCTCTCCAAACGCCTTGACGAACTCGCTCCACGCCGCGAACGTCTGGCTCTGGAACCATACGTCTGCCGGGGACCCGTGCCGGAAGCGGTCGCCGACTTCCTCTAGCTTTTCAGCGTCATCCGTGACTCCGCGCGTGGCAAACCCGAGGCGAACGTCCTTCAAGAAATTGATAGCAGTGGCGGCGGACGTCCCCGCACCTGTAAACGTCGGTCCAGTAGACATAGGTTGTCTTATCTTTATTGTAACTTTAGTTTTCTTCACAGGATTGATAATGGCCGCCGGCAGTAGCTTGGGTGACGTCAAGGGCGAGCTCGGTGGCTCAGTCAGCGGTGAAGAAGGCGCAAAGTCAGCGTGGAGACTAGGGGCCCGGTAGAAGGTATGTGGAGAGATGGGTGAGATGAGGAGGCCGGCCTGGGTGTGTAGACCGAGACCGACGCCTACTCGCGGTCCTACCGGGGTGGGGGTAACGGGGTTCGGACGGGCGCGTTTACCAAGCGGTGGCGACCGGGACGCGCTGTTGTACTCCTCACGGGTTCTTGGAACGCTGCTGGCGCAATTTCTGCGCCTCCGTGTCGGCTCTGGTGGATCTGGTATCAGTGCTCAGGGGCGCAAGCTGGGTGCCAGTTTCTATCTGTCTGTCTATCTGGGTACGTCTGTCTGTCTGGTGTCTGGGCCGTCGCCAACGTATATCACGCCGACGATGGGTGTAGATGAAGGAACTGAGGCGTCTGAGCGAAAAAGTCTATTGGACGTTGATCGACCGAGATCTGGTCCGAAAGGGCGTGGGTTCGAATCCCACTCTAATCACCACAATGGAGGGGCGGGACTGACAATGGCGGTGCCCGGCGATCAACAGCGCTAGAGATCCTCCGTGGATGCAAGCAAGAGGTGTGATGATCACTAAGCTACGACAAGACGCTGCCTAACTACTGCAAACTAGCTACACAGCCACTGGCCGGCGGCGACCGCCGCTGCCACACTGGTACAGGAGGACAGAAGAGTTTGCAAAGGAGAGAAAGTATTGGGACACAGGGAATTGAACCCTGTCTTGCTGCTCTATATGTTCATAACAACATCCTATTGAGAGCAGCTGTGCACCATACACCAAATCCCAGTTCCATTTCCTTATACCCATTCACATTAAGCTGAATAATTATCACAGTCTGTCACTTGAAAAGCAAGGTAAAAAGTGGCAAGTGCCACAACCGAACTTGGACACAAGGAATCGAACCCTGCCCTGCTGCCCTGGATATCCAAATCATTAAGAGCAGCCATGCACTGTACACCACATCCAGTTTCCTCCTCTACAATTTCTCATCTGAATACGTAGCAGACTTTATGACTTTTTCTATTGGGCAAAAAGATGGTTGTAGGACAATTTGATTGGGACACCGGGAATCAAACCCAGACCTGCTTCGCATCCTGCATTGTGAATAACTGTGTATAGAAAGCAGCCGTGTACCGTACACCACAACCCAGTTCACTGTCCTCTTTCTCAGCGGAATAAATAGCGCACTTTATGCCAAGTTGGTAAAAGAAGGAGAAGGCAATGCTTACAAATTGGGATACAGGGAATCGAACCCTGTCCTACTGCTTCATAGCATCATGTCAACACCTGTATAGAAAGCAGCCATGCACTGTACACCACATCCCATTCCCTTGTCCTCTTTCTCATCTGAATAAATACCACACATTATACCTAGTTGAGGGGAAAAAGCTTTTAGAAGCGGCTATTGGGACACAGGGAATTGAACCCTGTCCTGCTGCTTCATAACATTCAAGAACAAGTGATTGAGAGCAGCCATGCACCATACGCTAAATCCCATTTCGTTGCCCTGTTTCTCACTTGAATACAGGGCAGGCACACTTCTATAATTTTGATAAACAATGAAAAAAAGGAACACAAGAACAAGACAATTGGGACAACCGGGGGTCAAACCCTGTCCTGCTGTTTCATATCTTTTTTGAAAACAAGTCATTGAGGGCAGCTGTGCACCATGCACCAAATCCCAGTTCCTTGTTCTGTTTATCACTTGAATAAACACCACACTTTACCCCAGGTTGGGTAACAAAAAAGGTGCGAATATGCAGAGTGATTGGGACACAGGGAGTCGAACCCTGTCCTGCTGCTTCATATTGGTTGGGAGAACAAGTTAGAACAGCTATGCACCATACACTACATCCCATTTCCTACCCCTGTTTCCAGCCTAGATAAATACCACACTATATGCCTGGTTGGGGAAAGAAAGAAAAAACATTGGAAAAGTATTGGGACAGATTGGGACACAGGGAGTCGAACCCAGTCTTGCTACTTCATATCCTCATGGCTAAAAACTATTGAGAGCAGCCGTGCACCATACACAACATCCCAATTCCTTGCCCTGTTTGAAAAAACTTGAATATAAGGCACCCTTCTATAATTTGGATAAATAATGAAAAAAGGGGAAGAACACAAAGACAATTGGGACACAGGGAGTCGAACCCAGTATTGCTGCTTCATATCACCTGGGAAAACAAGCTACTGAGAGGAGTCATGTACTGTACACCAAGCACCAAGTCCCATTCCCCTCCTTACATTAGCTACGGTCAGAGTAGACGATTCTGAACAATTCTCGCCTCGATTCTGATGTCGATTCTGGAATTATTTTCCCATCAGAATCATGTGAGAATCGCTCAGAATCAGCTTTTAATTAGATTATAGTCAGAATCGCCTTCCAGAATCGTTGTAGAAGCGCCTCTGGAGGAGATTCTACAACGATTCTCGAGACAATTCTGAATTACGGCGATTCTCCCACGATAAATAAATTCCAGAATCATGTCCAGAATCGTCGTCAGAATCGCGTATTTAAATTCTACTCTGACCGTACCTATTCAGACAGAATAAATACCACACTTTGTGATTGGCTGGATAACGAAAAGAAGGGAAAGGATGAGCAACTGGAATACAGGGAGTCGAACCCAGACCTGCTGCTTCATATCCTCATGAGAAGAACCTATTGAGAGCAGCCACGCACCATACACGTCCCAGTTCCTTGTGCTGTAACTTGAATAAATATCACACTTTGTAGTGGTACAGGAGGAAAAAAAAAAATCACAGAGAAAATATTGAGATAGAGGGAATCGAAGCCATTTTGGATTTTCCTGATGCGAGGCCCTGACAGCTGTTCAATTGATGAACAGTCATATGTTGTATTGTTAGACCGATTTCGCTTCTCTAGAGAGGATTCCAGACATAAAATTTCAAATATGGAGTAAGGGACCCATTCACACCCTTCCGGCGAATAGAATGAGCACACAAATAAAGGAAACGGCCTTGAATTGAGCACAGGGCTGCCATCCTGCTGAAAAAATGTGTAGAATAACACTTTTCATTACTCGGATAGTGGTCTTTGAGGTCAGGTAAAAAAAAATATGAGGCCATCCCTTGAGCACTTGGAATGCGAATCGATCGGTCCCACTGCCAAGGTAAACCGACAAGAACTGAAGGCAGGGTGAATGTTCTAAGCAAAAGCGATCAAAAATGGCAAAATTTTCGTCCGCGCCTTATGTTCTGCAAACAGCTGTAAGAGAGAGAACAAGGATAAAAAAAGATTAGAGTGCCCGTACTACCGAGGTGCAGAATGCATATTTGAATGCATTCAAAAATAATTGCTGCCCATGTCCGAAGGAATGCTGAGGCGATCTTGCTGATCAATGGAGCTGGAGCGAGCTAACCCCAAAACACTCCTTGAGGCGATATAACCATACAGTTTTTTCCACAAATTCATAGTCGCCATACTGAAGCGGGAGCAGCAACTGAAGCATGTGTCCTCAAGAACTTACAGTTTTAGTGTGATAAGCTTGAATAACTTGACCGTAAAAGCCCACCAAAAATCGAAAACGGAGATGGCGGTCCCAGAATATAGTACTTCTGGAGGGAGAACCAGAAGCCATACTACCAGAACAACCGTCAATTTCGGCATGTGATTTGTGGGCCAGTACTAAAATGGGACAGCAACGTCGGTCAACCCAGAAATCACCAGAAAATGACTCAATTTCTAGGGTTTCAAGTTCGGCGTTCGAGGCCGGGCCTTAGTTCCCGAACGCTGAATCTGAACCAGTTGCTGGTTTGGGCAAAGTGGAACGTCGCGTAACGGCTCGCGTTCGGTTCAGGTTTAAACCGATTGTTGAACCGAACCTTGTCACCACTACCACATATATCACTATCGAGCCTTAATTCTGGCAACAGCTGGTGCCATGCGTCGGTCGTTATTGTTGATGTGGAAAGAATAGGCCGATGTCCGACGGCCGATCCCGAGACACGGTGTTCACTGGGTTTCACAAAAACAAAACACTATATCACACATTGCATAGTGTTTAATAGCTGGATGTTTCAAGTCATTCCACGCTGAGTCAACTGAAAATGAGGGTCGTTTTATCGTCTTTGAAGTTTATCTCGAACGTTCATCATAGATAAACTGATGCTACACCCGGAAGTACACTTATGAACAATGTCATTGAATATTCAAACTGATATCCAACACCTCCACGTTAACTGGTAACGGGTTTGTTATCTGTCTTGAGAACAAACACCGTGATCCAGAGCAAAAATGCTGCGACGGTCGCCAAAGCAATGGCGGTAATCCACCAGTTTTCAAAGTGCATGGAAGAGTCATATGCCACTATATTGTATGCACGGTGGACCCCAAGTCCAAAAACTGAGCTGCCACAAAAGCAATTGTCGAAGATATTGGAGAACCTTAACAAGTCGAGCGTAATGAACAAGCATCCATTCACCCAGGCCATCGTCTGCGAGGATGATAAGTATGACCTCATGGGGAAATTTCACAGCGGATGTACATACCTTTCCGACTCTGCGGCACAGAACAGATAGGCGCGCATGCCATCTACGGGATGATGGGGAAAGTGTATAGCTGAGAGGGTTGGTAGCGTGATGACGCTGTTGAATGACCACGCCCGCCATAATTATGATGAAGGAAATGGTGGACAAACCCCCATAAAGAAGGAATGAAGCGCTATGGCATCTTCAGGGCAGTTTGAGCCACCATGGAGTGATCATTGAGGCGACTTACCCTAAACCAACCGTGGGAGTCATCCACGCCGCGAGGACTGCGGACCCTGTACATGACCATTGGACGGCGAAGGCGACAACGGACGAGTAAGCGACTCTCCGCCATACCCCAGGTGTCCAGCACCGTGATTGGGAGTGACCTTGAGGTTCAATATATTTTGCAACGTCTTCGGCTTTGCCAGTTCTGTTCGAGGCGAGTACAGAGACTGCGCCGGGGACCGAAGGTGTCCACAGAGATCCATCAACCGTTAAGCCGTTGCTTGCTCTGATGGACGCCGCTTCAAATGAGACCGCGATCTCTTCAACCGAACGACCCCAGGAAAACACCCGTGAAAAATTATAAAAGGGCGGGGATCGGTATTCGTCGCATGTGTCGGAATCTGTGGTTTCGTCATCAACTAGGCGATAGATATACCCAAATGTATCCTCACCTTGTGGAGCCTCTGGCTGTCGATGTGGAGGCCAAACTTCTATGGCACATTCGGCCGTACTGTCACGAGCAAATACCGGTGGTGCTGCGGGGTTATCCCCGGGTTGACATATATACCTCGTTTCATTCAAAGCTGCGAGTTTAGTCTTGATCTTCGCTTCGTCACAGTTGTGCGTCGTCTGTAACCAGCCAATGACAACCGGGAGCAACCAAATCCAGGCGCACGCCACGGCGGGGCCGATGATATTCGGGTTGCTGGGGTCCATTGAAGCGATAGTGAAAATATAGGCGAGGGCAGCCCAACCGACAGAGGCGATATTGGCCATCGACCACGTCTGGGTGAATGCCAAAGTGGCTGCTCCACGTTGCCACCACTGATCGTTCTCCGGAAGGACGATCTGCGAGGCGAGCAAGGGACGTCCATTCAAACTAGTTTTGTTAACTCGAAGGAGGGACTCCTGCAAGTTATCGAGAATGATTACTGCGTGGTTGCTGTTCGGATATGTGATACGCTCAAAGCGCCACTTTATCCAGCGAGAATTACAAACAGTGATCATGAGGGAGAATATCGCCAGAGTGGGAGATCCAATGGTCAGCATGATAGTTGAGAAATTATCGATGTGATTGGTGGCCCCGAACGGTAATTGAGCGGTAAGTGCGAGGAAAGGTAACATGAAAGAGCTAAATTGTGTGGAAAAGGACGGAAAGTTGAAGGCTTCTGGGGCGGTTCCACATTGTGTGACGCACATCGCGTATGTCATTCCGACGACCTGGGATTTGTTAGCCACGAGATTTCCATTTACATCTGTACCCCCGGTACGCCAGAGTGCGTCGGTGGCCATGATAGTCGTCAAGCATTGATCGAAATTTGTCGATGACATTCTGTTGTTTGCCGAGTGTTAGAAGTTGACAGTCATGCAGGGCTTGCAGCGGTCAAGGGTATTTAAGGCTTACGGGGCGGAGTATCGTATATAAGGGAAAGTAAAGCTGTGGAGGGCTTAAGGCCGCCTCAGGGGCGTGCTGTAGAACCGGACATCCACAATGATGAATGAATACATATCCTGGTACACAAAGCAGGATCACTCCCCATCTTCGGATACGTGGATGCGACGTGAACGTATCTGTGGCGTGGGGGAGGTAGTCATCGCGCGCT